CCCCCCCCCCCCCCCCGCACCCCACGTACCTGTTGGCTGTATTGGTTTATTGGGACCTTCCATGCTTGTGGGCTCTTAGATCGCTACAACATCGGGACTTCTCAGCGCATACGCACTCCCAGAGTCGTGAACCATGAGAGGTGCCTATGCCTTGGGGCCCCCCCAACATCCCCAAAACATTGGGGATCTCTCTACACTTTCGCACCCAGAGATTCCCGAAACTATGAGAGGTCCCAATGTCTTATCATAAGGGGTCTAGGAGCCTAAAACCATGGAAGGTCCCAATAAAACAGTAAAGCCAATGTTCTCGCAGCACCTGCGCACCCAAAGAGTCCGAGACCGTGTGAGGTTTCAATGTTTTGGGGCCCCCAGACTACCAAAACATTGGCACCTCGCCGCGAGCTAATACATGTATAACAGTATAAATATCAGTTTGATGCCTAGTTTATGTTCAGTACTGAATTCTGGGACTGTGACTAGCTACTGCTTTTCCAAGAAGGGTTGGCTCCAGATAGGTATTCGCACAAAAATCTTGGGCAATTTGGTCGCCATTATATGGCTGAGTTTTTTCTGGTACTCAAACCTTGTCACTGTTCAGTTGTAATCGAGTGCAAGTCAATGCAAAATATCCTGTCTGTGATGCACATTTAGTCAATCGGCAGTCATATCTAACATCTAGTTAACCCAGGTCGTTTCTCGTAGTTTGTATGGCACATATCAATATGCACATAACCAGTGTTTAAGTGCCCTTTAACTACTACTTCAACCATACCTGTTAAGCATGAAGCCTCTATTTGATGGAATACACGTCTGGAATTTGAGTAGTGCCGGCTGCATCTTCGCACGTATGTCGCTTACTGCAACTCCAAGAGTGGGGTTTCTGTTTAGCGTATAGTCTTGAACGTCGTATTCAGGCGGTGATTTACGAATATAGCGTTGTACAATACTAGTAGTTTTTAAAGCTCGTCTACATACTCTCCGCATCCCTGATTGATATTCCGTGTCGAGTTTCCCACTTACAGTATGTAAGTATCATTTTAACAAAATCGAAATCTACATGTATTCAATCTATACGCGTCGAGCATGTGATGCTCACATACAGTTTAAGCGTGGTTCACTACTCTTAAGCTTCAGATCTACCGGTACTACATGCTGAGGGGTACTATATAGCATCTCTCCAGTAGTCAAGCTGGTACGGAAAGTATTATGCCAGGTCATGATCGCGATTCTGCTCTATCTCTTGCAGACTATATCTAGCAGCTAGAAGGCTAAAACCTGTTGACGAACAGTTGATGCGCACACAAACAAGCTTGCCGCTAATTTGAGGTTACAGTAGACCAACTCTGGATTCTCCGTCAATTCTGCCAAGTCTGATTGAAAGCCTGCGCAATCGTGAGACCGTTTTCAGACCGCCTGATGAACATTCGGAGCCATGTTGAACTGTGGCAGACTGTAGCTTGCTTAGACTCATCGGCACGTTGAAGACCAGAGCTTCTTGTCGGGAACCCGGGGAACGCGAAAGTCGAAGCCATGAGCGCTTGTGCGGGTCTGCGCGGTGCGGGTCGAAACGACTGTTCAGGTGCCTTTGAATGACACCTTCAGCGTCTTCGTGTCCCAGGTCCCCGGTGCTGCGAACCGCTTCCAGGAGATGTTGCGTCACTGGGCGCAAGGAGTTTCTATGGTGCTCCAGCGATAACAGTGTTGGTTGGTGGTGGTGGAGGAAGTCGTTGTCGCAGTCGTCGTCGTAGCACTAAAGCTTGAACCTGCTGCTGGGGAAGATCACATGTCCGGCATTACGACTTCAGGTTTACAAGCACGCGCAAGCGAAGAAGCCCCCAAAAGGAGCTTGGATAAAGATTTTTGGTGCCGTTACACGCTCCCCTATTCTATGTCAAGGCTATGAGGACACCGATAATGTAGGGGCGTCAATAATTACCTGCACTATTTTGGGGGCTCCCTATTATAGTTATAGTATATCATACCCAAAAACCCTATTCTAATTATCAAGGCCCCTATATTATTCCAACTTGCCGGCTTATGCCTTGCAGCTTTTGTCCCAAGCTCAGGAGGCCATGATTCAACAGGGCCCCCTAGGTTTTCAACTCGACACCCGTGGCAAGTCGTTTCTGCTCGCAGCAAGGCAGTAGCTGATATTCGGATGTCAGCCTTTGTTGTTTCAGAACTTCTTTCCGAGACCTGTCGGATTACTTTCGCGGCCCAGTTCCGTTGCAGCGCAGACTGTAGGGTTCCGGCATATCTGTCATTGGGTATATGGTACTCTACTGATGTGGAGAGCAAAGGGTTTTAAGCAAGCTGTCTTATTGAAACTAGGCTGTGGACATTGCCCGGGCAGTTTCTCCCCTTTATGTTCCTTTGCTGAGGCGGCTCCCCTGAAGTGACGAACATCACCACTGATATCCTTCAAGGTGGCGACACTGTCTGGCCGGCATCGATCATCTTGGATGCTTGCTGAGAAACTGAGAAGAGGGGCGACCTGCGGGCTCATTAGGTGGCACAGGCGACTACCGCTAAGGCTAAGGAGATTCCCACTTCAAATCACCGTAGCTGGCGACACAAAGCCGAAACCTGTCGACAGCCTTGAAGATTGTGCTTCCTAAGATATTTTTTTTGAGGCACGATGGCTGGCAATCCAGCCGCCGGTGGTGTCGATGGAAGGCGGCGGGGAGGGTTCCCGGAGTATTCTTGTTCAGTCTTGTCTCCTCGTTGTTGTGATTGCAGTTGGTGCTATGGAGGTGGTGGTGGTGGTGGTTGTTACTGTTCTGTCACAACGGCGACAGCGGAAGCGTATTGGCTACTAGTCGCTGAGTAGTCGTGTCGTCGTCAGCATTGTCATTTAGTCGTTAGGTTTTTTGAAGATGCTTTGGCAGCAGTGATAGTTAGTATGGTTGTGGGGTCGTGGTGGTGCTGGTGGTGGATGTGCTGGTGGTGGATGCAGTGCCGAAGGCGAAACGTGCTCAGAATGCCCCGAAGCAAGACTTCCGTACCCACACCCAGAAGACTGTTGTGAGAGTAGGAAGCTCTTTGAGCCCAAACAATTGCCTATTCTATTTTGGTGGTTCCTTATCACCACTATTGTATACTGGGCCCCCTAAAACCCAGAAAGCCCTCAAGCTTTGATCCGCTTGAACCTTCTCCGGCTCTAAGCTTGGCTCAAAGTCACACGATCTTCCTTCCTTACTACCTGCGAAGAGAAGCAATGCCGGGCGCGCCGATGGCAGAGAGTCCAAGCTCGTCCTCTGCCGCCTGGTGTGTGTTCTATGGTGTTGGGATTATCTGCACCCTTGTCGTCTACGGGATTCTCCAGGAGGGCATCATGACGGTAGCTTACGATGGCACCCTTTTCAGATATTCCGTCTTCCTCGTTCTTTGCAATCGACTGGCAGCGGTGGCTTTCGCAGTTGCCATGGCGATCGCAAAGGGCGAGTCCCTTGTGGAAATACCTCGTCGTGTCCCTCTCCAACGTGTACGCCAGCTCTTGCCAGTACGAGGCCCTGAAGTACGTCTCTTTCGCGGTGCAGATGTTGGGGAAGAGCTTCAAGATGATGCCAGTCATGATCCTAGGATGTTCAGTAGTATCCTTTTTTACTTTTTTGGGGTATGGGTTCCTAATATAATATAACTAACCCCCCAAAAAAGTATATACTTTCTCCCAGTTGGTTACTGAACAGCGTAGGATCTGGGGCATGATCATCTCCGGCAAGTCCTACAGTGCACGGGATTGGATGGTGGCCCTGTCCGTCACGCTGGGCTGCACGGAGTTTCTGATGACGGGCCCAACGCATTCCAAGGTGGATGCTAACAACAGCTTCAAGGGCTTCTTGTTGCTTGGTGGCTTCCTTGCCCTCGATGGCCTCACATCAACATTCCAAGAGAAGCTCTTCAAGGAGCACAAGACGACCAAGTACAACCAGATGCTCTACATCAATCTGCACGGTTACCCTCTTGCTCACTGGGGAACTCTGGCCAGCTGCAGCTTTCGGCTTCGCCCATCCGCGCTTCTGGCTGGACTGTGGCTTGTTGAGTGCGTCGGCGGTGGCGAGCCAGTTCTTCATCTACTCGCAGATTAAGGAGTTTGGGGCCTTGGTCTTTGCGGCCACGATGAACGTTCGCCAGGTTGTGTCCATCCTGCTATGTCAAGTATCACAACCCGGTGACGCACTTGCAAGTTCTAGGTCTCTGCCTGATCTTCTCGGCACTCTTCTACAAGTCGATTGCGGCCATGATACATGCGCCCAGCAAGGACGAGAAGACGCCCATTCTCGCAGATCCGAAAGAGGCCGTGCAGGCTCCACTGGGAGGTGATGCAGGCAAAGCCGTTTAGGCTGTTTAGGCGTACTTTGGGGCAGGTCGTCGGGACAGCAGACTGAGTTTCCTGTTGCTGACGCCATGATTTAGATATCGCCAAGGCGCGGTGCCTGCAGCCTGTTCACGTGTACAGGGCAGCTTCCCGCAAGTGTGGCTTTCCTGAGAAGCATAACTTGTAGCAACCAGTGAGATGGCTAGCGGCTAGAGCCACTCCTGAAAAGTTTGCATTAGCTTGTAGCTCCGTTGTCCAACCTCCGCGGTCGGAGTCGGACACGTTGCATATCCAGACGGTGTAGATGAGCCTATCTCCCATTGGCAGTGAAGGTGATGCCTGCGCCGGCAAGGAGCAAGCAGCAAAAATCCAAAGACGCGTGACCATAGATTTGAGACACTTCGAGCTGTACTGATGGGTGAGTTGCTATTGCGGCACCTAGTCTGCTAGTCGGCGTAGGTAGGTGAGTGGAATCACCCTACTGTAGCTTCCGCCCCCCAAACGCACATCCACCCTAAACCCTACACTCGAAACCCTGAAAAGGCCTCAGCGTCCTTGAGTTTGGCTCGGGCCTTGGACTTGGCGGCGTGGCCTGCGCTGGCTTCGGTGCCCGCGCAGTGCTGCTCCAAGACAGCACCTCGGCTTTTGTGGGGGTTTAGGGTTTCAGAAGCGCCTTGCGGGTAAACGGAAGGATGTGGGGTGGGCTTTACTAGTTCTTCAGGCGGCTTTGGGCTTTGAGAGGTGGGGTTTCGGGTTAGAGTCATAGGTGCTTCCTGGGTTCGGGCCCTCGCGGATTTCGCACTTCAGACTTACGCTGTTGACTAGAGGCTTGAGTTTGCAGAGGTTGCGAAATTGTTATCGGTTGGTTTTGTGACTTCCGACCTAAACCCTAAACCCGAAACCGAAGTTTTTTCTCTGTCTCTGTCTCTGTCTGTCTCTCTTGGCTCCGTCTCTCTCTCTCTCTCTGTCTTTCTCTGTCTCTTTCTGTCTCTGTCTGTCTGTCTGTGTATGTATGCATGTATGTATGTACGTACGTATGTATGTACACACACACACATATATGGAACCCTACATCTTAGTGCAACCCCCCCTCCGCAGCACCAGCAAAGAAACACCCGCAGCAACAGCAACAAAAAAAAACACTCCCCTTCCCGCAGCAACAGAAAAGAACACAGCCCAGCCCAAGAATAAATACACCGCAGCAACAGCAACAAAAACAAATCCCCGTCCCGCAGCAACAGCAACAAAACACCCCTCCCCGCAGCAACAGCAAAGCAGCAGCTTACCACATATGGGACCCTACATTTTAGTGTAAGGAGCCTCAAATATGGATAGCCTTTAACTTTAAGTAGTGCAGAGTTCGCGACGTCCGCTTGCCCCTCTCAGGAGACCCCGAGTGCCTTAGACAAGCTGTCGAGTCTTGGCCATTTTGGTGGTTTGGGTTTTACTGTAGGCGTTTGGGTCCTGTTGCACAGGGGCCTAAGGGTGTAGGTTTTTAGGTGTGTGGGTTTCGACGCAGTCCCAGGTCTCAGAGTCGAGGGTTTGGGCATGTTTGGGCTGCCGCAGTTAATCGGGTCGCCTGTGGGGCCTGCATGCTACGGCTTCCACTAGCCCAACCTAGACTGGCCTGGTGGTGATGACAAAGAAACCCATGGCGGACCTGACAAGAGCACCCCTGATTTATGCACAGGACGAGGCCAGAAGGTACCTCTTGCTTGGTTCCTGTCTAGTAATATGAACTAAAATGATATAACTAAGATAATGGAGCTCCTAGAGACAACTGAGCCTGTAACAGCATTGAAGCAATCGAAGGAGACGGCAGTGCGCAGTGGTGTGGCGCAGTGGATCACCACACTTAGATGCGACTACAACGAGCTGCCGGCCAAGCTGGCAAGTGGCAAGGAGCCGCCAGTGTTTACGCATTGGGGTTAGGGAGTTTAGTATCATTAGTGGCCTTCAGTAGAACAGGCCCCAAGTCCCCAAAACCCTGTTCTAAGCATTAAGGCCCCCTGCGTTGGGGCCGTTCGGGCTTTAGGATCTTCAGGGCTCATGGCTTCAGCTGACTGCTGATATCGCTTGAGCTTTCGACTGGACGGGCTCGGCACAAGTTCATTCATCCTTCCTTCGAGCAGGAGACCAAAAAGAGCTAAGATGAAGGAGTTTCGGCCCGTCGTGGAAATTTGCGGAAATCGTTACGCTAAACCAGCCGGGCCATGTCTCCGAGATCAAGGGTGGGGCTACACAATGTAATGTAACAATGCGACTTGCTTGGTGCTCCCGAGTCAAGCGGCACTTGCAACTGCACATGCATCAATGAGGTCTCTTCAAGGGTCCATGAATCCTCGATTGTTGTTTCTACGCCTGTGCTTTTTGGAAGATGTTTTGGACTTAGAAAGAGTATCTGTGTGAAGCCGGCGACCTATGAGGCCTAGCAACGTGGGAGGCTGCAGAAATATCCAAGCCAGAGGGGCCTACAACAACCCTAGGCCCTAGACCGTAAACCGTTAACCTTTAAAGGGCGGCAAAAAAAGGACCCTAAACCCAAATTAGCTGTACAACCCCAGAACCCAGCCATCCCTAGGAAGCACTTCGGGAGTTCGCGCCGCCCGATGTCTTCGTGGGCTGCGATGTGCTTCTCAACCAGGCAAGTAGATTTCTCGTAATCCCCTAAGCCCTGTACCCCCAAACCTGGAGTAGTTGACCTGGCAGGGGCAAGCGGGTGTGTTCTTCCCAGGTTTAGTGGGGTTCTGAACGGGAGCTAGAACTTTAGGTTCTGTGCTTGAACCCTGACTAGTGCGTGTGTGCACATGGGTGTGTGTCTAGCTTAGGGCGTGTGCGCTCTGCTTGTATTCGATTCTACTTCCTGGTCCAGACTGCCTCAAAGGTTTTCTGGGTGCTTGGTCTGATTCCTTGTCTCCGGGCTTCAAGCTATGTGATTTGGAAGATGCTGTGAATTATAGGTTTTATTTCGGCACTGCCCCAGTTGCCGAATGTTGCTTCACATGATCTGCTGTTGCTCCTGGTGAATATTTGTTCGCCACTGTGTAGGTCTGACATTACTGGTGTTTTCTTTACCGGCTCATTGCTGCTGCTCTTTCGGAAGACCACAGGGAATCGGACCTCGGACATCTAAGCCCTAAATCTTTGAACTCAATACTATAAGCCTCCGAAGACCAAAGCGTCGAAGTACGCTGAGCTTGCTGCCTTCCGTGCCCCAGCAGGCGAGCGTCGAAGAGATCGTCTCGGTACTGAATCTCTTTCTGCGCTCCCCCTCCCAGGCTTTTAGTGCTGAGAGCTTTTGGGACTGTTCCGGGTTGGAGACTCGGAAGTTCCTACAGCTGAGAAGGTTCGGGAAGCTTGGTTGAGAGCAGGCGCAGCTTCTGGTAGTGTAGTGACGGACAGTGAGGCTCGACTTCGCTCATCGATCGAATTTTTTGATCTACGTTTCGGAGAGGACTTGTTTCCTCCCATGATCACAGACTCATGAGCCCGGATTCGAGGAGCCTGCCCAAGACAGACCCAGTGCCTACGCAATTCTAACCCAGTCTTTAGCATTTTTGCGCCAGAATTTCCTTGACCTTGTTGAATCAAGGCTTCCTTGGGCCAGGGTTCTACAACTTCGGGTGCTTGCTGCAGGTGGCCTACTTCATGGACCCCTACACGCGCCCTCACCGAAAGCTGTTCATGCCGCTTGGCAAGATGCGGTGTCCATGACGGAGAATCCGTGGCCTTCTCTTTGCTGAGAGTGTTGGAGCCACACTGCAGGTTGAAATCTCTCAGTTCTAGGGGGATCTTCCTGTGTGCAACGGCCCCTCAAACCGGAACCCTGGTTGCACACCCCGGAGCCCATGGCCATAGAGACATAATTAGTCTTGGCCCCTTGAACCATCCTAAATCCGAAATCCAGGCAGTACTGCGACAGCATGGGCTTGGTGGCCAAGGAGGAGTGGGTCTGCTGAGGGGCCTTCCGTCGCGGATTTTCGCAGAGTTTTGCCAGAGCTTGGGTTGAATCAATGCCAGCCTGCGATATGGGATCGAGAATTTCCCCGATGCTTCGTCGAGTCAAACTGTTTGCGGCTTTGGGGGTTCGAGCGTCGGTAAGCAGGCTTTGTCTTGTGCTCAACTTTGTATCCGGCGGCTGACCCCAGCTGCAACCGTAGTGCCAAATAACATGAGAAACCTCTTGGTTGGTGAGGACGAGATCGTGACCTGGGAACCGGATTGGGACAACTTCCTGGAATACGACAGGGAATGGGTGGATGCCCCCAGTTGTTGCTAATGCCCTGATTATGGGCCGCATGGAAATTCAGAACACCCGCATTAGATCCCTCTGGACAGCCCGCCTGGGAGAGCCTTGCTGCTACTGGTCGTGCCTTTGTGGTATGCTATGTTTCGGCCATCTCGGCATCACTTGATGCATTGCAACTTAAGGCTGGGTGTCTTGCTTAAACGGTTTAGATGTGTTGAGCGGGATTTCAGTGTGTATGCTCCCAGAACGTTAATCGCAAAGCCCTACACCCTGAACCGAGTGTGAGAGTCTAAGCCCTCAGCCATTTCAGGGCCAGCTGGTTTTCTCGTCCTTTCAACTTCGCCGTGCAAGGGGTTTGCATGACAGCTGGCCAGAGTGTAAGCCATGCGATCGAAGTTATTATCAGAGGGCCGATGAGCACAGAACAAGCGATTCACTGATTCACTCCTCACTTGTATGTTTGTGCAGTGTTCTGAATTGTTGATCTGGGCTTTCGCCTCAAGCCCCACAGCAAGGTGATGCGGCTCGTCACGGTGCGCCGGCCGTGAGATCCGTAGGCGTTCTGCGCTTTCTATAGAGCAGGATCGGGAAATGGAGACTTAAACGTTAGGTGGCATCTGTGGCACAAGGCAGATCAGCCTGCAGAGGATAGGAGATCAACGCAGCGCCGACTGCTTACTTGGGTCTTGAAATGGGAGATCTCATCGTCGTTATAGTAGGTCCATCGGTGATGGTGAAGTAGCCGTGGAGGTCAAAGAAACGCCACGCGTGGAAAAGCTTCGTTCAACGGCGCCCTGCATTTGCTTCACTGCTGTGGCATGTTTGTTTGCAGTCACGTGTCCAGGCTGCATGTCATTTGAGCCTCGTACCTCAAAGTCCCTCCCCTCCGACCCTCATTTAATTTAGAAATTGAGCCCTGCATCCCGAAACCCGTACGTCCCCAAACATTCCTCGACCCTGAAGTCCCTAAGAGTCGAGGCAGACCAGCACAACAGCTTGCGGGCCGTTGAAGGCGACCTCCGCTTAGAGGCCGGGCGCTCTCGGAGTTGAGTTGGGGGATCACAAATATCATATCTTGTCTTATCTTGTCTTATCTTATCTTATGTTATCTTATCTTATCTTATCTTATCTTATCTTATCTTATCTTATCTTATCTTATCTTATCTTATCTTATCTTATCTTATCTTATCTTATCTTATCTTATCTAACCTTATCTTATCTTGTTTTATTTAGTTTTTATTTATCTATCTTTATCTTATATCTTATATCATTTTGTACTAGATTTTTATTATGTATTATATCATTTGTATCATATTAAAATACAATATTATGTGTATTATGTATACTATACTGCATTACTTCTATTGCAGTATGTTACGTTCAAGTATATCATGTTCTACTATACTACATCACATTGTATTATGTTGTATTATAGTGCATTATATATTTTATAGGGTCATAGTGTACTATCGTATTTTATTTTCCTTTTTCACTGACACATGGAAAACCTTTGTGAACCCATCTCATTGTTGCTAGCATACATGTGCGACAACCATGCACACACTCCGCACGGATGGCAGGGCCTGCGGCCCACCGAGCCACCAAGTACATCGAAGTTGAGTTCCGCAAGACAGCCCCGAGACCCAGACAAACTCGCACCCTCATGCCCTCATGCTCGAGCAGCCAGGCTGAGCTCAACGCTAAAGAGCTCCCGTTTGAAGCACTAATGCAGGGGCCGTTATGGTTAGAATATAGGGTTTGTGGGGTATATTATGCAAGACTTAAGAAAAAAAGGAACCCCCCCAAATACTTATAGGTAATTATGAAGGCCCCTACATTAACTGCCTGCCCTCATCTGCCTTGTCCCCAGAGAGCCGTGAGGGATCCCAGCGCGCCAGGAGTTGGAGCTGCTAGGAGCACGGCTACCGAAGCTGGAGGCCGATGTGGAGCGCAAGGGGCCTAGCTGTGAAAGCTCGATGGGCAGATCTTGGGATTCTCTTTGGTGGTATTTCGGGTGGGTCGGGGTTTTGAATGGGACCACAGGGTTTTGGCATTGAGGTTTGTTTGAGTCAGGGCTAGGCTGTGGCTATTCTTCCGAAGTCCCTCGTCGCATAGTGACGGATTTGGGAAGTCACGGTCCCTGGCTTTCTGAAGACCCCTTCGTTTCCAGCATTGTCACTCCCTTCGAACTGCTATGCTATACACTGCATCCATATAACAAGCCAGACACTACTGACCGGATCACCCTTGAAACCTTTTTCCTCTGTCAGAGCCAGCCCAACACCAGACCATGTTTCCTGCCCTTTTTGCTCGCCTCTGAGGCCGGCGCTCTACCCGCGAACAGCTTGCGCATCAGTCCTCGCAGGTGCCCAGTCTACGCGTAGTAACGAGTGCGGTGCGAATCGCAGGAAAAAGCAGCAGGAAGGACCAGAATGGCAATACAGTGATGACGATGCACCAGCAGAGTCAGTCTGGGATGTTCGGGTTCAGGTGTTAATCGTCAGCAAGAAAGATCGGGAGATTGCCTGGGGCATCTATGAGGTTGCTGTCCGTTCACCCCCCACCGTAAACTCAGTAGACCAATCCTCCACGTTTTGTTGGGCTACTTCGCAGGGGCTGCAGCCGTAAACGGCTCTTGGCAAAACGCCAGGTCCGTGCTGCGCAAGAGAAGGAGGTCCGAATCATCCGCGAGGTGGGGGAGATGACACGCAGGGGCAGGTGGCGGGGGTGGTTTTGCTCGAGGGCCAGGGGCAGTATTGGATTGCTTGCAACAAACGTCTCGAGTCTAGAGTCTAGAATTTCATCTCTCCAGGCTGCGGCATGAGCTGCTGTTGTCTGTCGGTTGTTGAAATCTCCGCTCAAGGAAAGACATTCCATCATGGCGGGCAGTCCGCGAAACCTTGTTGTAAGATGTGCATTCAATCTAGACGGCCGCATTGCTTTTGAGCCGTCGGTTCCCAGAAGCAAAAAATCTGGTGCCTTGTTCCTTGGATGTCCCGCGTGCAGCTTGTCCTATGACCCTCATCTGTCTATGTTTTGCGTGTGGCCATCTGAGCGCTCTTCAACCCTACGCTGTCCAAGAAGTGGCCGGTTCATCATGCGCCAGATGCATAGCCAACGGGATGCTGATAGCCGCGCGCCATGCGAAGCGAATTATGAACAGCTGCGGGAAGAAAGATAGCCGTCGCGTTAAGAGTAGTTGCACAATGACAGAAAGTATTCTGTTCACATGTAGTAGCGACCACCACTACTGCATAAATCCCTAGCACGATGCAATCCGCCAGAGGGAGGCCCTGAATGAAACTTCAGACGGGAACGAGGCCTTCGATTTGTCGTGCTTGCCGACCTAACGATTTATGTACCACGATCCTCAGACATCTGGCGAAGTCGGAGGTCCGGGCAGGACGGAAGCTAGAAAACCCCTAAAGACTTGGAAAACCCCGAGCCCGAAGTCCCGAGATCAGTTCTCTTGTGCGAGTTGCGCGAGTCAACACCTCCCCGAAGCATGCACCTTGGCAGGACATTGGCCCCTAAAGCCCTAAACCCTAAACCCTGAACCCCTAAATCCTAAACCCTAAAACCTAAAACTTTGAGCTTCCAAGCCTAAAGCCCCAAGTCTAAGTTTCTGAGACCCGGCCGTCGACACCCTAAACTCCACGGCCACAGGAGCTGAGGGCAGCACAGGTGGCTCGGGCCGAGGTGCGAGGGTCTTTTTCCGCCTTCGTGAACTAGGGTTTCGGGTTTAGGGCTCGGGTCTTAGGCTCCGGGTTTCCGGAGAAGGTTTTGGATGGATGAGAACAGAGTCGAGTCTTGAAGGAGCGCGAAAGCGGGAATGTTGGTACTCCCTGTGAGCCTCTTATTGTGCTATTGAGTCGGATTGTCCTTAAGGTTGCGATTGGAGGTGATCGCAAGAACGCAGGGTGCACAGAGGACCAGTCCTTCAGGGTCCGGGACGTCAGCATCTATGATTTAAACCGTCATCACGACGACGTGGCGGAGGAGGGCAATTGCTGCTGCTAGTCTTACAGTCTCGCAGCTGCCCGTGATTAGGACTTGATCCCGCAGCCCCGGGGCAGTCACAATAAGCCAAGGACGATCTAGGAATCCGGACTGTTGCTATCCTCCTGGGATCATGTTGGCCATGTGCTACAGTGTCATACCGTCTCGGTTTCAGCCTCCCTGTGTCCAGGAACTTCTCTCAGCCGCCGGCACGGCCCTGGGTAAAGCCGCCGGAGCCCAAGAGGATGGTGCAAGCAGCGAGTAGTCCGTGCTCAACTCTGGCAGCCACAGCCTAACCCCAAGAGCCCCCAAGCCATGGCCTCACTATATTATATTGTATTTTATTATACTATATTATACTATATTATATTCTATTACATTCTATTATATTCTATTATAGTATATTATATTATATTATATTATACATTCCCCACCACCTTGGATGCCAAGTCGAAGGCAGGCTCTCCCGCACCTGCCGTGGGGATCGGAGGCTGGGGTGCAGTAAAGGGGAGGTGCTCTGAGGCTTGGTATGGGAGTGCCGCTGTTGAGCTGTACAGTAGGGATCTCCATGATACGAGGCTCGACTGCACGTGTTTCCTTGAGTCCCACTTGTCCTGACATCTTGCGACATCTGTAGGTCACTTCATCGTTTTTCCGTCACATGCATCAATCTGTCATGTCTCCCGCATTCCACGAGTCCGTGAGCAAGGACTTCTCGTGTCGTTCTTTCGGAGTGATCCGCCGCTCGTTCATCATTCGATTCTATAGAGGCTGAAGATCATTATGACCTGACGCGAGCGCCCTATTCTCATTCTCTTGCTCACAGATGGCCAGGTGCCGGGTATCCTGGCAAGCAGGAGGAGGCTGACGAAAGCCCATTGCTTGCGGAGTTTGCTTTAAATTGGGTTTCGTGCTTGGTTGGGGGCAGCTTGGACACGACAAAGGTGTAGGGCTTATAAATAAGTCTGTGACCATGGTACCGGGGGAATAGGGCACACACGCATGACTTCTCAATGAATTCGGCCGGGGAGGAATTAGGTGGAACCGTCCGGAAGGCATTCTCTACACACTGCTCTTGTTGTTTTGTGCTTTTTCCGGTTTCGATTTATCATGGTGAAGGTTACTGCTGTGGAGTTACTGCATGAATAGTGGCCCACCCGAACAAGCTGCATGCTCACCACCATTGCGTTGCAGCTTGCCTTCACGAGCAGGAAACATGGCCCCACATTAGCAATAATTTGCGCCTTTGCCCCGATGCTTTTCATATATCCTATTCTCGAGACCCCAAAGCTCTGAACCCCAAACCCCCTAAAGTTCCACGTGCTTGCATTCCCCCCCCCCGTTATTGCTAGCTCAGTATCCATGATAGCTAAGCCTCCCTTTGATATCCTCGGCGGTCCTGTGTCTATAACATTCTATAACTTAAGCCCCATGTCCTGAACTAGACGAGCTTTTGAGACCAGGATGTTGCTTGGAAGCAAGACGAGCCCAACTTAGGAGGTTCCTACATCTAGGGGCCTTTGTTTGCGGTCATGCTTCCAGCAGAGAGTTCGGTTCAACGCCATCAGCCGACCTAAGAATAAGACCATGTGCCTCGCCTGGACTGCCCGCACCTGCGGGTCCCCCGAATAGGTGTTGTGTATGTGGACCCTAAACCCTAAACCCTAAACCCTAAAGTGCTGTTTCCTCGTTAATGGTGCGATGGCTAATCGGCTGAGAGCAAATGAGCTCGCTGACTCGTACCATGAACTCTAGCCCAGGCATGTCCGAGCGTGAGTGCTGAGACCCTCTAAGCCCTTAACCCCGTAGAGGTTCGTCCTAGCCAGGCGGGAGGCCAAAAAAAAAACCGTACAGTTAAATATGGTCGTGGAAGCGTCGGTCGGCTGGCCACTTGGGCTCAACTACGGCGTAGCCGTGCACAGGGGGCGGCGTGCCCCAACAGGCCTGACATCTGACATAAGCCGTGCATATCATTAGGGTTTGGGGTCAGGATTTAGGGTTTCAAGGTTTTGAGGTTTTAGCTTGCAGGACCCTACCAAACTGCCCAGTTTCTTACTGAAGGGTAGCACAGGTGAGCCTGTATGCGTGCTGCCGGTGCTGGTTTCAGCACCTGTTGTGTTCTGAGGGGTTGCAGCACAGTGAAATTCTCAAAAGGCTCGTACAGTCACAGGAGCCACAACCCCTGTGGTTTCTCCTGATTGCCGGAAACCCGTTCGCTCTGTGATAAATCTCTCTACACTGCCTTGGCCATTCCAGTTTCATTTCATTGTGATGTGGGCTCTTTTTTCGGGGTCCTCCTAGGGTGCCGTACCTTAATATTGGGGACCTAAACAGGGACCCTAATTTAGAGAACTACCCTTGTGCATGAACGACGCGAGGCTGATGGCAGAGCTGGTCGTGTATGGCCGTGATAGCTGCGGCCTCTGTTCGAAGTTCAAGAAGGAGACTCTTGCGGTAGGGTTTAAGGTTCAAGGTTACACTCGTTTTGCAGGCCTTGATTGAGCAGGGATGAAGCTGTTCATGTAGTGTAGTGTTCCCTTCCCGCTGTGCTGGAGCCTCGGCAGAGTCCTTGGCCCTGAGCTCAGTGGGATGCTGGCATTCGTCAAGTCCAGATACAGTAAAAAAGGTTCAGGGTGAAGTGTATCGGATGCCTGCTGCAAAAAGTGTTTGGGTAAAGGGGACCGACTTCCCAAGCCCGGATGCAAAAAAGGGTATATGGTGCTGCAGGGTTTAGGGTTTATTAATGGTGCTACAGAGTTTGGGTTTTCGCGCCCGGTGCCTCATAAGACTTCTACGGGCTCAGTTGCATTAGGTCAACGATCCAATCAAGCAGATCTCCTTGCCGGCGGAAGCAGTGTAGTATGGTATACTATGCTATGTTATAGTGTATATTATACTATAACATAGCATAACTTACAAGAAATACTGTGTATATATATATATATTGTATTATCTTATCTTATCTTATCTTATCTTATCTTATCTTATCTTATCTTATCTTATCTTATCTTATCTTATCTTATCTTATCTTATCTTATATTGTCTTGTCTTGTCTTGTCTTGTCTTGTCTTGTCTTGTCTTGTCTTATCTTATCTTATCTTATCCTATCTTATCTTATCTTGTCTTGTCTTGTCTTGTCTTGTCTTGTCTTGTCTTGTCTTATCTTATC